ACATAATCAAGCGTATCCATGTATTAAAGAATTATCTAATTACTATTCACATAAATTTGTACAAAATTATTTCTAAGAAAAATCTAATAAATATTTACTAAAACTTTTATACCTCTACCGTAATAAATTTCATTAAACGAACACTTACAGTTTCGACATTTATAAAACAATTTAAAAAAAGACCATTGCGAGTATCTATTATTATCATTGCAACTTGATTAATCGCAACGTGTATAAATATAAATTATTAAAAAACAGAAATCCGATGGGTTGATAAGTTTTTTATGCAGGCAATTTCACTTCATTTCTTTCAAGAATTTCGAATCTGTAATTTCATTACACGTTTTCAACAGCATGCGTAGGAACGCGATTGTCGGTGTGAGATTCGTGGAAAATTATTCGCGCGAACATAAATACGCGAAACTCTGAAAAAAAGTACGACGTCATACATTCGCGGCGGACTAAAAATCACGACGCTTCCGGTTTACGTTCGCCATTTCATGGCCGTCGAGACGAGCGGGGTCCCTATGTTATATTACTGTTGCGTATTTATGCGTGTGTAAAAAAAAAAACGTACACGTACGGATAACGCGCTAATACACACGTGGCCCTTCGGCCACGTCCACGCCGCGTCCCTACGCTTTTACATGAAAAAGTACCCGTTTTAAAGCGACCACGATGTCGAAGCTTTGATATTTTTTTCGGAATTATCAATGATTTTGGATGACCCTTTATATCGTTACGACTTTAAAATATTTTTGTTACTATTTATATATCGCATATGCATTTCATATGAGTACAATTTTGATTTATGCCATATAAGGATTGCAAATTCCAAAATGTAATTAAAATGGCAATGAAACAAAAAATACTAAAAACATATTAAATTCAAATATACCAAAAACAAATTACTTCTACATATAATATTTTTCAAGTGCACGATGCTTCAGAGTTACTGCAATAATATCTACAATAATATAATTCTCATTTTAACGAATAATACTTAACTTTAATCTTGATTCAATTAATTCTTAATCTTTTTCTAGTTCCAAGACTTAAAAAAAAAAATGAAGTGTACGTTGAACAGAAATTAAATTAAATTTATATTGGTGGAGGCAGGCATAAGTCAATTTCTTCATTAACTTTGACACTCTTTTGTTATTTTTATATTTTTTAATTTCGTCAAATTTATTGCTATTTGTTTGATTTGCGTAGAAAGAAGCAGGAGAGGGATGGGGAAGGAAGTTCGGATTAATCTGTAAAAAAATCAAGGTATTCACTTGAACAAAAGTACTTTTTTCCTTTCCCTGTGTACATCTACCATTGCTGGTTCTTGGATAGGTTTAGTTTGCATCCTTGGGAAATCTACAGTTATGGAATGCTACTGTGCGGGCACGATAGAGAATGGCAGAGGGGAAGAACGACAGAGGGAGAACATGTGGGTGTGCGGAAATGCAGATATTTGCCAGGAAATTGATAACTCGAATAAACTCGTCGCAAAACATTCAAACAGGCTGCCAAACGGTACGATTGTACACTGCAATCCCCGGTTACGAACCAAACACCGCATATCCCCCCCCCCTCCCCCCGATGCAATGGCTGTACATGCGTTAGCGGGTGTGATGTGCGAGCGATACAATGCGTATATTACTTGCTCGCCGGTATTCTCCGCGCCGACGGCGAACTGATTACAGACCGATTTGCAATTTTATTTCGACTTCTAATCGTCAGAAGTTACTGACAGGATCTGACAATCCTGTCGGTAACAGCGATTGAAAAATTAATTGTATCGTTTCGCATTTTACAACAATAAGTTTTCTAATAATACTTGTAAATCTCACTACAACGTATCCAAATGTAAATGATGTACACGGTAAAAAAAAAAACATCCTGTATCTGTGTTACGGTCCATTTAAATCCAAGTTAAAATCTTGTGTCGAATTTTTAGTATGTCCGAATGTTAATTTAACATAATATGATTGTGCTATTCGAATATTTTGTGTTAAATTGATGTTCAACGTTTCTTAAAATTGAAACAAGACAATTTATGAGCAATATTTAAGTGATGAAATAACATTAAAATAATGTTTTATAAAATGTAAATTCTACATGGATAAATAAATAAAATGTGTTAATGCGACACATTATAAATGTTAAATTTGTTGAAACATGTTAATTTAATATATTATAAATATTAATTTTGATGAAGAAATATGATTGCTTACAACTTGTGTACGTTTCCTGTGTAAATTCTTTTCAAATTAACACAAATTTTTCGTCTATGTAAACCATCACATTTTAAGAAAATTAAGAAATTAGAATTATTCTGTAACCGTTATAAAGTTATGAAGAAATTATAGACTATATCTCGTATATCACGAAACGTATATTGTGATTTTTTTTTTCTACTACACATATAATAATATTATAAAATTGAGAAATGATAACGATTATTGAAATGATGATAGTCGATTATAGCAACTAGTGGATGCGGCCAAACACGCGCATTACAGACGCGAATCAATATTAACTTGATATTTTTGCCGCGCCATTAGAGTCAAACAAACGCAATGTAAATTGCACGATACAGTCGCGTATAATTATTTGCCATAAATAGTGATGAAGCACGGGCACGAGCGTATGTCAACCGCGTCTCTATATGCACCCTTCACGGAGCGGTTCAAAAAGGACGTGAGTGTATAATGAAAATACCACACTATATATGGAGTATAAAATAGGTACGTATACGCGGCCAATTCGCATAACAGCGTCGACGTTTGAGATACATCAAACAACATATTAATAATATCTCCGGCACATCACAAATCACGATTAGCAATAAATTTTAATACATCAAAGGAATTTATAAATAACAAGGGATTTAATCCAACAATGAAAAATATTTTGTTTCTTTAAATTTAAAATCTATTCAAATAATTAGTGCAAGAAAGAGAGAGGGAGAGAGAGCGAGAGAGAGAGAGAGCGAAAGAGTGAGTATAATTTAAAAAAAAAACTCATATAGCGTTTTCCGTAATTAAAATTGACTCTTCGCTCTCAATCATGCAAGTAATTTTCCGCAATGACTGTCCCCTGTTGCGTAACGCAACACGCCGTGCATCGCCACAAAGTCGGTATCAACTAATTAGCAACGCGCTAACGTCGACCGGTTGCGCGCGACGCGGTCAAAGGGCATCGTTATCTCTGCACCCCGAACTACGCGAGAAAAAAAAAAGAGAAAGAAAAAGAACAGAAGGGAGAGACACTTTCCGTGTGCTTCCAACCCCTTTCCTCTTTCGCAATCAAACGAAAATTAGCCGACGAAAAGCGAGCGAACTGACCATCGTACGTTTTTTCGCCGACGGTGAATTTGCGACGGAGAAATGTACGATTTCACGAGAATCGTTGCTAGATTCAGCGCATAGACCGGTTTTTTTTTTATCTTGAGAGAAATTATTTTAACCTTACATTACTGAAATTATTGATAATTATTTAGAGAAAATTATTAAAAACGTTAATAGTTATAAAAATTATCATGAGAGAAAGCTATTTCAGATCCCACACATACACTTAATGTTTAGCATAAACGGAATAAACCAGATTGTCCCACTCAGAAAGACACACGAAAATTTATAAAGTTATCAGAAATTAATACAAATTAAAAAATATCGATTAAATTTTGTAGCAATAATAATCAATTTCCTTTCATGATGAAATGATAAATCAAATACTTTATCAGATAATAATCTTTTTAGACGATTTGTTCCAAGTTCAATCAAATCGGATTTAAATTTTTCAAAGAATTTTCTTTTTTCAAAGAATATTATATCGTATTATATTATTTAAAATTACCGTTATCTCAACAACGCGAATCCGAAGGAAACCATACGTTGAAGAGCACGGAAAAAGCGGGCGACGGCATCGTGACCGGGGAAAAATGGATGGCTCTATCTTTCGGTAATTAAGACAATGGCGAAAAATAAACAAACGCACAGAGAGAGAGAGAGAGAGAGAGAGAGAGAGAGAGAGAGAGAGAGAACAAGCCCTCTGTGCGAACGCATCTCTTCGGGGCTGTCCGTGGCACAGCTGTTACGTTGCCGGGGGCTCAAATAAACGACTTAGGTAGATTAAGCATACAAATCTCGATGATTCTGCTCCTGGCGTAGCCGGCTTTAACCCACCCGTACGTCGGGGTCAACGCGAAAAAATATACGGCTTGTCCACCCCGACCGCCCGCGACTCGAGAAATATTGAGCGTTCTCAAACAATACGGCATGTGTTTCCTTATCTCTTAAGATACATATCCGCGGTATGTTTTGAAAATTTTGAATACGCAGCTGAGTTTGTTTAACAGGGACAATGTTTATGATAACGTAGAAAATCCGCGTGGCTGTCTTTCGAGATTACGTCAATAGGGATACCTTACGAGTCGACGTAAAGATTTCAGTGACATTTTATGCTTTTTCTCAGAATAACATCTTATTAATGTATTGCCAAAGTTCAACAAACAGAATCGTATCAACGTTAAGAAAGATATTAAAATCGTACAAAGAGACAGAAATGATCAATACAAATGATTAAATATTGATACGTACGATAGCATAATTAAAAATTGTACGTAAAGAATGAAATGTTAATTAAAAATTCGGACACGGGATCGATTCTACATCATATTGATCATTATCCGCTCGGGGGGGGAAAAAAAAGCAAAAAAAAAAAAAAACATGCATGTAATTGAACTCACGTCTGTACGGCCGTCCCTCCTCCGGAGTGGATCGTTCAGTGTTCTCGGATCCTGGTGTGGCGTTGGCGTCACGGTCTTCCTCATCGGGAGTCGCGCCACGATTCGGCACGGAACCAGTGCC